TGTGCACACACACAGGGAAATGAATGGGGCTGCAGGGAAATGAATGGGGAATGGCATTGAGTGTTGTTATTTTCCATTTTATTATTACATCTAGGACATTCTTAGTACAAAATTTGAAAGTTTCCATTAACTGCAAAACAGTTGCTTACTTGCATTTATGAACTATGAGTCAAAGGAAGAAAACACATCTTTCAACAGAAATAATCCACTCAGTCTCACCATTAACTTCTACTAGTGACACATAAAGGCAAAGTAGTTTTTCTTTTAAAGAGTTATGATTTCTATATATATAACTTACAAACTCAATCTCAAAAACTTAAAGTCACAAACTCAAGTTTTACAAAAGCTTAAAATTTCAGTCTGGACTTAGAAAGTTTTGGAATTATCTTTTTAAATCTTTCCAGCTCTTTAGTTCAAGTGTATTCTGATCATTCCTCTGGCAGTTCAATGAGAGCTTTGTTTCCTCTTTATATTTACTAATAAAAAGCCAACTCAAATGATTTGTGGAGATCTTGCCATTTGCTCCACCATCTACTCCATTCCCTCTGCCTCTCATTAGACTTGATGATGGTTCTGATTAGGGATAGTGCCCAGGTCCTGGATAGATTTATGTAAACGCCACAGCATCCTTCTTTCTACAAGATGTCCAGGAATAGTGTCAAAAATCCAAACTGACTCTTCTCCTAGCAGATGGCATGTCCACAATCCCACAACTCAGAATTTCCAGACTGTTGGTTGATAGAAACTGAGGAAAAGAGACTCATAAAAGGGACAAAAATACGCCAGAGGGTTAGGACACTTGTCTTGCATGAGATTCCTAACATGGCAAGTCTTCCTTAAGTATGACAATGATTGACTCCTGAGCACAGAACCAGATGTGAACACTGAGTACTTCATGGTGTAGCCCTCAAAAAAGAACAAAAAAAAAACACAACAAAACAGGGACTGAAAGTGATGATAAAGAACTGAAAAATATGGGAGAGGTAGTACTAGGCCGAAGGTGCTTGCCTTGCATGCAAATATTTGATCCCTGGCATCCCATGGTCCCCCAAGAATCACCAGGACTAGGGGGTATGGTGCTGCCAGCAGGTCAATCTGTACCTGTGAGGTGAGTACATCAGCAGTCTGATGGCACCATCAGGTCTTCAGATACCCCAAAATTGCTGCTGTGCCTTTGGCCAAACCCCAAAAACTTGGGGCAAAGTTTAGCAAGAAAGTAATCAGCCAAAAGTTAGGTATGTGGGAGACACACCCACAAACCACCTCTGGCTCAGCTATATAATTCGAGGCATGGCCTCTCTGGTTCCTGATCGAACTGCTTAACAGCCATGATCCCAGAGGCTCAGAAACGAATCTTGGAAACCAAAAGCTTTTGGCAGAAATGCATCCTATTCCTGCAGTAGGTTACTGGGGCTGGGCCACTCCAGGTGGGAATAGGTTTCATGCCATGGCCTGTTTCCCTTGGCGGCCTGGTGACCGTCATCCTCCAGAGGCCACAAGACAGTTAGGTTTGGGCCTGCAGTGAAGAGACACTTGGGGCCTCACCAGATGTGGGTGGAACCGGCCCTTTCCTTAACATCCCAGCGAGACCTCAAGTCGCCGCCTACAAATGGCCTCTCTGGCTGCTGATCAAGCTGATTAATGGCCACGATCCCAGAGACTCAGAAACAAATCTCGAAACCCAGCGACTTTTGGCAGTAATGCATCTGGACTGCATACACGGCCATGGCTCCAGAGGCAAAAGGACTTAATCCAGAGCCTGACAGCTTGCGGCAGAAAAGTGAATGGACCATGCGTTAAATTACAGCACCATGTTTCCCCGGGAGGGAAAGGGTGTTGCTCCCTTCCGCCTTTCTCCCCCCTTCCCCAGCAGCAAGGTGGCTGCCACCTCAGAGCTTATTGGAAAGCCAGGTATAGGCTGGCGGTGACGGGGCAACTGCAATCTCATGGGAAAGGGGACATACCGGCTCATCCTTCATGCCCTACCGAGGTCACAAGTTGCCCCCCCATGAGCAGCTCTCCGGCATGGCCATGGCTTCAGAGGCAAAAGGACTTAATCCAGAGCCCGGCAGCTTGCAGCAAAAAAGTGAATGGACCATGCGTTAAACTATGGCACCATGCCTCCCCGGGAGGGAAAGGGTGTTGCTCCCTTCCGCCTTTCTCCCCCCTTCCCCAGCAACAAGGTGGCTGCCACCTCAGAGCTTCTTGGAAACCCAGGTATGAGCCGGCAGTGATGGGACAACTGTAGTCTCATGGGAAGGGGGGCAGTACGGGCTCATCCTTCATGCCCTACTGAGGTCACGAGTTGCCCCCCACGAGCGGCTCTCCGGCATAGACATGGCTCCAGAGGCAAAAGGACTTAGTCCAGAGCCCGGCAGCTTGCAGCAGAAAAGTAAATGGACCATGCATTAAACTCCAGCACCATGCCTCCCCAGGAGGGAAAGGGTGTTGCTCCCTTCCACCTTTTTCCCCCCTGGCAGCAAAGTGGCCGCCTCCTCAGAGCTTATTGGAAAGCCATGTATGAGCCAGCAGTGACGGGGCAACTGCAGTCTCGTGGGAAGAGGGCAGTACCGGCTCGTACTTCACGCCCTACAGAGGTCCTGAGTTGCCCCCCAACGAGCGGCTCTCTGGCACAGCCATAATACCAGACGCACAGAAACCAATCTCTAAATTATCTTTGCAGAAATCCAAAATTGCGTTGCCATAATAGCGGCCGTGCAACATTATATGATTGTCATAACCAGCTATAGAATACAAAGTATTTCACAATGCCTTTTCAGCAATTCTGATTGTTGGGGGGGGGGGGGGGGAATTCTAAACAATAATGACGCATCTTTTGTCGAAATGATGAATGTAATCAATGTAGAGAAGAGTTAAGTAGAAATCATCTGCCTCACAGGCATTGGGTGGAGTGGGAGGGGGTTTATATTGGGGTTAATAAATAAAACTATGGAAAAAATTAAGGTGGAGCTCATGCCCAATTCAATCAGCTAATCAGTGGCTGAATAAATAGCAGTACTCCTACATATTAAAAAAAAAAAACACCAGGACTAGCGCACCCCCAAGTCCAGAGTCAGGAGTAGTCCCTGAGTACCACTAGTTTAGCCCAATCTCCCACCTCCCCAAATGAATTAGAAAAAGACCATGGGGGAAAATATGGGACCTCAGCCCATATAGATCTGTAAGCAAACATTAGTCCTTTCCTGGTTTTAGCCTTTCATTCATAGGTATAGCAGTGAAGCCAGGGACAGCAGGACCAACCACTCTGTGGAGTGCTCTTCTACCTTCTCTGATGCTATGATTTGAAAGAGGTTTCCTGAGTAGCCAAGGGCCATAATTACCCACCACATTTCCTGCTAGGGGAGGTGTGGGATTTTTGGTTCCCTAAAGTGTCCGGCTCTCACTAGGTAGGCCAGTGAACTTCTCGAATCTTAATTACTCTGTAAACTGATCTGAGCAAGAGAAGAAAATCTGACAAGTTAGGCAGAGAAATGAGGAAGTCGGTGGTGGACAAAGGAAAAAGGGGAAACACAATAGGGAAGAGAGTTAGAGAAAGGAGGACAGAGAGATTGAAGGTGAGGGGCTACATCAGAACAGCAGATAAATGTCACCCCTATTAAAAATCTGTCTGACAAAATTAAAAGGCATAGTTAGCAGCTAAATACAAAGCCATGTACTTTATCTTTTAATGACAGATCACCAAAGTACAAAGCAGCCTGTCTGGTTGAAGTTTGGGTGATTCGATTCCTCTATTACTCCATATAAAACAAAGAATCTGTAGTTTCATTACCTTTAAATTGTCTGGCAGTGTGTGAAGTTAACTTTTATTAGAAGCTGTTCTTTCCTATTATACAGCGTAGTCAAAGATATATTAGCTCTGATGTTTTCTTACATCTCAATACTCTGGAGTGAATTTACTGTGAGACTAATTTAGAACAGAGTTTTTCATAGGAGAAAATAGTGGTCAGTATCAGCTGTACATCAAATTATAATCATGATGAAAATACCGGCAAAGAATGGACAGAGACATAAAATTGCTTACTGTTCATAAGGATGCTTCCTATATTTATGTTCCTGATAATAATCTGTGTCTCTTAAAACTCTAACTTCTTAAAATTCTGTTCTGGTGAACATTTTAATATTGAGGAAATGTTACCGTGGCTCCTAATCTAATTTTTTTCTTTTAAAGAAAGCACCTACATATTCAACAGTATGCAAGCAGTATTTTTAGATGTTCTACTTGGCAAAGAGAAAACATTACAACTTAAGTATTTAAAGCATAGTTTTAAAATGATTGATTAGACTAATACACAATAAAGTCATTATAAAATGAATTCCCAGGATGTGAAATTTAATCTCACCTATATGATTCATCACTCATCACCAAAGTTTTATTATACTCTGGTATTGGGTGATAGTCTCTCACTTTTGTTTTCCTTTTTTAATCAGATCATACTGGCTAGCTGACAATTTGAGACACCAATTAAAAATATAATTGACAAATGAAGTTGGATTGTTTAAACCAAATGAAGAGAAAAAAACAAGCGTATCAGAATGATAAGACATTTAGTACTTCTGTTTCAGTAACTTCAAATGTAAATCTATCACAGAGGGATGTTTGAACTGCTAAACTAATAAAACTCAGTCAGTCAAATAGTATAAGATATTGAGAAGCAGCAACAGGAGTGCTGTAAGAAAAGCACCCAATGGAGACACAGGAGAGAAAACCTGTCAGTCTACTCATTCACTTTCTTATCTATTCTATAAGTTTAGCAATGAAACATCCACACACACCCCTTTGCATTTATCTTTGTGCCTGAATGAGTTCAATTTCACTTAGATTAGGATAGAAACTTCAGAACAGCAGGTTAATCCGTCCTGCCTTCATGGGCAACTGAGCAAACAGACGAATATCAGTGTAAAATTGTAATTCTAGAGATTAATGTTGTCTTTCCCGTTTGCAGTGAGCTTGACCTCCTTGTTCTTTTTTTCTTTTTCAGCTTCTGTCCAGGGTCCCTGGGAGAGAGCCATCTCGCCAAACAAAGTGCCCTACTACATCAAGTAAGTGGCAAGCATCACTGTCTTAAAGGATCTTTTATTGGGACAAATCCACATTTTTACAAATGATTTTTTAAAATGCAACCTTAGCCATTAATTCCTAAAACACCTCATTCTATCTTCCCCAGGGAAGCTTGGGCTATTGGCTCATGCTAAAATTAACACTGAAAATTTGCTGATGCAATTGGGACCTGTGTTTAGGAAAAATTCCTTTCTCTTTCCTTGTATGATTGGAGACCATGTGCATTTTCATCGGAGAACAAAAAGGCACTGTTTATAGGATTGATTGTGGGATTGAATATTCATACACTATTTCTACTAGTTATTGAGGGGTTTCCCACATATTTATTTTTGAGATGTGGAAGATTTCTGCATCCGCACATATGCACTGTGTTTGGTGAATGGGTATTTGTGCCCAAAAGGCAATCAGCAGCAATCCCAGATTTGTGAGACTGAGATGTTCATTCTCGATATAAGGCACTCAGCATTTTTCACATAACAACAACAGAGTGATACTGTTTTCTGGGGCCATTTATGTCAATCAAAGGCATGCAGGTGTTCTGAAGCATCTTCTCCATGATGCTGTGTAAAATACAAATTATGATGCATTGTGTTGATATACGAGAGAGAGAGAAGAGAGGATATTGAATTATTATGACACCTTAACAGTCTCTCATTGATTGAGCAATAGAGCCAAACTTAAATTTAACTTTGAATTGGCTACCACACCAACCATTAAAATTAATCAGATTCCTAAAATATTCTTCCAATAGTCCCTATATTCTTTTAACATCCTTCTGCCATGAATCTGAGAATATTCAATGTTTTTCCCCTTTTTGGCCTGCCATCTTTTATTGAGTCTGTTTTTATTCTTCTGCTGCCCATCAATTCTTCATAATTCAGTTCTAAAGCAATAACTGCAGCTCTAGATCTTCATTACTACAGTTCTCAAGAAATTTGATTTCATGTCTCAATTTTGTTAACTCAAAAGAATGGAAGCTAAGGGTAAGCTTTGCTTTTCAAAGAGAGTCACATCCTTCAGGAAAGGCTTGTCTTACTACCTTTTCCCCAATCAAGACATCTCTAATTTTTGAAACTTTCCTTTAATATGCTTAATACTGGTTTAATAATTTTCTGATTTTGAAATACCATTTTATTATCTTTCCTACATACAATAGTCACCACAATATTTTTATACTTACTTTCTATCACCCAATGTGTTAAATAATATTTTGATTAATATGTGCACTATTGCTTTATATTTACTGTATTACATCTGTATTATGGCGCCATTTTGTTTGAACTCTTCACAGTCATCTTCAACATCTCTGTTCTCATCATCACAAATATTTATTTCTCACCAAAGTTTGAGACCTTCTATTTATTCAACCCATTTATAAATGTCTCACTTTGTCTAATTCTATGAGCTGAAGTAAAATCTCTCGTATCATGGATAATGTTTTAGGACCACATAAAAATATAAGATCTCTTTAAGTCATTGTTCTCCAAAGAATTACCTCTTTGGGAGATAGTGTCTCTTGGAGCTTACTAGAGCCCACCCCCATTTCCTAATTATGTATCTTCTCCTTGATGGTACAATCACCTACAAAAGAACCCAGGATACTGGTTTGAGGACATGAATATGAATTCAATCTAAAAAATTAAAAAATAAAAATGAGAGAGTATTCTAAAAAGCAGTACTTCCTCTTGTGAATTAATAGCTGCTTGCTACTCCTTGGTGGAATTTGAGAGCTCCTGCTCTCGTTGTCGTTTTGTGTGTCCAATGCTCCTTCACTGACTTAAATCATAGTGACATAATTGATAAGGACACATCTACAAAAAAAGAAAATGTGAGTTCTTGTCCTGAATCTGCTATTTGTTGATTGTGTGAATTTGATCAAGTCATTTATTCAAACCTTGGTGGCTTCTCTTTTATAAAATGAGAAGTTGGACTAGATGATATCTAAGGTCCTTTGTTGCTTTAAGACTCAAAGGTCACACAAACCATGGTCTTGTCCATATTCAAAACCCAAGATCTCAGATTTTTTCTGAGAATTTCAACTTTAAAGCTTATTTGTTATAGTTATTAAGATAATATAAATTCGTAGCTTTAAAAATCATAGGAATTCCATTTCTTCTCTTTCTAATGAGTTTCACATATGCCCTCTTAACCCTCTCCAATTTCCCTAGGTAGCTTTTTAAATACCACAAGTATTGGTATATAGGTTAGGACTATTATTCCTCCTGGTTTAAGATACGTAGAATACTAGATGGGAAAAATTAGTAAATAGGTGAGGACCTTAAAAAGCCTTAAAAACGATCAGTTCCTTGTAATGAGGAATTAGATAGTATCTCAATAATATAGCAAAGGTTTTATGGAGAGAAATACCTTTTTTCATTATTGGATTATAAAATTTCTCAAATATACCTCAAACATGTTAAGCTGTGGCCGGAGCAATAGAACAGCAGGTAGGGCATTTGTCTTGCATGCAGCCAACCCAAATTCAATCTTTGGCATCCGATATGGTCCCTCAAACATCTTTAGGAGTAATTTCTGAGTGTTGAGCCAGGAGTAACATCGGAGCATTGCTACGTGTGACCCAAACAGCCAAAAAAAAATCCCCCAAAATGTTAAGCTTTAAGGTATGCAGAACAAACTTTCATAAAATTAACATAGTTAATAAGCAGGCTATTATTATAATTTGCAATCTATTACATAGTATTATAAAAATACTGTACTCACAGAAAAATTACTGTGATGTGTAAGGTTCAGTGGACTGAATGCACTGACAAATATCATTCATAATCTAAGATGCCTCATAGGTCCAAAATTACATCACTGTATTGGCATTACATCAAACAGTCCTATAGCTCCTCCTTGTTTGTTTTACCCTGAATTCAAGAGATTTTAGTATACATTTCCAGCTGTATAACCTGTTTTTCAGATATTTCTTAAAATATCTTGTAATGTTTCCTTTAAAATGCTGAATAAATCGATCATCTATGTAACAATATTATATGCAGTTTCTTGTTGGCTGTTGAGTTGTGTACTCATCCTTGGGGTTGTAAGTCATTAGCAGCATCTTTTGCTCTAGATTGCAAATCAGACTGAGTTTATGCTCGCAACCCTACACCAGCTTTGCATATGATGCTAAAAACTTTGATTTTGATACTTCAAACTACATGTTTGTCTAGTTTATTAGTCCATAGCATACATCATTGTTACAGTTTTCATATTTCCTCTCCCTTGGGGCTCTCTTATTCCTGCCAGCATCTCTTTCAGGTTATTTGATTACAGCTTTCATTGCCACTGAAAAAATAATCACCAACAATGTTCAACCTGTTACAACTGCCTTTTCCACTCTCTGCCATTTTGTAGTTTTTTGGCCTACTGTCAAACTCATGAAAATTTCAATATAATAGCCTTTCACCAGCTGCTGCATTCTGTTAGGATTTCTTTCACCTTTTTATGTTGCATACTCCCATATGGGTAAACCAAACAGAGCCAAGAGCTGGGACTCTCTCGCTTTCTTAATGAGTTAGAAAATTATTCTTCTATGTTCTGGACTGTCAAAAAGAATTTAGAAATCCCAAACTTGCATGCAGTGTGTTTCTGTATAAATGATACAATAAGACATAAGAAACAGCACGCTGGGTCAGACCAGCAGGCCAGTTAGTCCGGAACTCTGTTCCAAATACAGGTATCAATGACTGTTTTGTCAGTTAACCTAGCAATTTTCATTTAAAATATTAAGATGCATTTGGGCCAGAGAGATAGTACATCTGACCTGGGTTTGGTTCCCAGCATCACATGAGGTCCCTTAAGCACCTCCAGGAGTGACCTCTGAGCACAGAACAAGGAAATGAGCCCTGGGAACCACCATGTGTAGCCCCTGAAATAAGCAAACAAACAAAAATAGGACTTGTTATGACCATTTCTTCAGAATGCATTGAAAGCATTGAGACTTTCAGTGATTTCTTAAGTATTCCCCATATTCCACTTCAAGCTTGCTTTAGAAATGTTTCTGTACATTTACTGATTTCTACAGAAATAAAGTTACATTTCACTTCTTTTTTAATCTCCATACTTTAACCTCAAGAGATGGCCACGATTAATTGCTGTGGAATCCAGTAACCACAATTCTATTTACCGAGAGTTGACTTTAATCTTGATTCCCTTCACTAGCCCCTTTTCATTTTCATCTTCCCAGACTGAGAAAGTCTAATTCGTTTTAGTGTTTCAGCCTGTCCTTGAATGAAAGATAAGCATTCCCCTTGATCATCTTAGCTGCTTTTTCTGGATCTTTTCCAGCTCTGTTATATCTTCCTTGGGATGTCATGATACAAATGGCCCAAATATTGGTTATTAAATTTGTTAGCAGTGTCTCTAGTCTCCACTCAGTCATGAAAGAAGTAAATGCTATTTGCTGCCTCCCATTGGTGCAGAAATGGAGAAACCAATTGAGGTCATAACCTGTTCTACATATATTAGTTCTAGCTGTATTACTTCTGAAGGTTGGTTTACTGCTTCTTTTTTGTAATGCCAGCTGAAGTGTTTGACCTTCTATTTCTGCCAGCTGTCCCTTAGGAAGGATTTGAGTTTTTGACAAGCTGGTCTTTTTCCTCCTTTAAAGGCTCTGTAGTGCTAAATCTTTGGAGGCATACACTAATGAAACCTGGTAGGTTCCCTTTCTAAATATCTCTGAGGTACTTCATGATAGAGGGGGAAATGGGGTTCTGGGGAACATATTAACTAGTCAGCTCTTTTCAATAATCCAGTGCTCTAAAAGCAACCCATATCCAAAGGAGCATCTGTCTTTCCATGCCTGTTAATTGGGAAGTTGGGCATATTGCAACTGATGTTGTCTATTGGACATGATCATCTATTCCTCGTTACACTCTCATCTCAGGCATGTTTCTACAGCCACATTGGCATTGCTCATAACTTTCTGATGGTTCCTGTTTAGCAGACGCCAACATAAACCTCCCTGGGGCTTCAGTTG